TATATTTATATTATTTCTAGTTTATAAGATATTGCTATTTTAAAATTTTTATTCAGGTGATTCCATAATTATGTTAGTCACTGTATATCCATTTTTAGAAAAGATTCCTGGGTTCTCTTCAAGTATTTTCCTAAATGGATCACGAATACGAGAGCACCACATTTCTGGTGTTTCATGATCATGTTTCTCTTCTAAAAGGGATAATGCATTTTGTATTCTTTCATATAATTCACTATGATCAGATGAAGAAAGCTTAAAGTAGGCATTACTATTTAAATCCATCTTTTACAAGTGTTTAAGCAATAAAATAGCAAATTATAGTGTTTTTAATACTTTATAGTGATTTAAATGATTTTATAGCAGTTTGTAACAAGTATATTATAATCAAATATCAGATTCATTTTTATTCGATTACAAGCATATCAGGGATTTATATAGGGATTATATTTACATGCATATAAATCAGTTTGTGGATCTCTCGTAATTAACAGGATTATGACGTATATCGTATCACTGATATCACTATAGCTTCCCCTTTCCGCAACTTTAAATCACGAAATGAATTACAGATCAGCCAATCAGATTTTGCGCAGTAGCTAAGTCATTATTATTATTCAATTAATCATTATATTAATTTAAATTATCTCACAGCTCATTTGAATCATAACACATAAAAGTGAGTTTTTTTTCTCTTCTTTTGTTACTTACTTCTTCATTACTTACAATAAGAACTTTTCTTAAAACATGTCCACACAATGAAATGATGAATAAATCTGCATACTCATTGATGAATGTAAAAGTAATAACGAAGAATTCCACTAAATCCCTAAAAAATGTAGCAAGAGAATTTTCTAAGAAGAAATAGCAAATAAGTTTAACCAAACATATAATACGAACTACTTTACTGGAAAAGACTGTAATAAGAAATTCCTAACCTTAACTCAAGCATATTATGTAAGTAATATAATAATCGAACACCCTTGTATATACTTAATCTGATTTTGATCTGATATATTTGGTATATATAGATGACTAAGACCTATAAGGAAGCTGTGGCAAAAGCAGTTCTAAAGAGGGGACCAGTTAATGCAGAAGTTAAAAAGAAGAGAAGTCTTGTTGGAGAACGTTATTATGAAAAGTTCTCTATGGAATTTTGAAAAGAATCCAGTATTTATTTTGTGATATTCTTCATGTATATGAAAGATATATCCTCTAAAATATTTATTGTTTCTAGAAATACAACATCATATGGTATTATCTAACACAACCATCTCCACAACAGGTGAACAATCAACACTCAACATCTTTATTAACACCCTCAACAGTCATAACAGATGGATAGTCATCTTCTGAGAATTTGAATCTTCTTGAAACAGGATCTGATATTTCTACACCTTCACATAAACAAACTGAATTATCAAGACCTGTAACACCTTCTATAGAAACTTCCATAGTCTCTAGGTCTGTTCTCTTCTCTTATTCTCTCAAAATGCAAAAGTAATTAATATTGTTACAAGTTTGTTCACTAATCGTTAAATTAGCTTACAAACGAGAACCTGGATTGGGAGAGGATATAAACTGATAAAGAAAATATTAAAAAGAAAAGAGAGGTATCTAAGGCCTATGCCAATTTCTACGGAAATTGTGTTTACTTGAAAAGAGATAATAATATGGGAGAGTTGTGGG